GTGAGAGTGAATGTGTTGCTATTCTGAAGAAGAAACTATAATTTCAACTTGGATTAAAGACAATGGACATGCGGGCAGAAGTTAAATGAATTCAGGGGCATGACAGATGCTATTCTCTCGCTCCTAGCTGTCAGGATGACATTGCCACCAGTTACTGATATGAATCCTCGGGTCTTCAGTCCTGTCTCTAGACAGTTCACCTTCCCTTGCCATGCCTCAAGGCTAGTTATCTTACATTAGCTCCACTGTAGTTTTTCACACAGAGTTGGCCTGGGTAATGCGCTCCTCTGACTATATGGACTGCTTATATAAAGAGAAAGTAGTCTCTCACTAGAGATTGCAAATGTTAAAGAATTTATTAAAACCTACAGGGATGGGCTGATCAGTCTTTGAAATAGAACTATCTACCCTCATAATTGAAATCCACATACATTTCTTCTCTTTCAGTTGTGCAGTTTTCATGTAGCTTAGTTACCATGGATGACCACAGAATCTGCCCTAGAGGTACTGCAATCCTGTCAAATAACTAAGGGTATGTCTACACAGGAACATTATTTTGAAATAATTAGCATTATTTAGAAATTAGTCCACGTCCACGCAGCAGGCAGTTACAGGCAGTCCCCGGGTTACGTACAAGATAGGGACTGTAGGTTTGTTCTTAAGTTGAATTTGTATGTAAGTCGGAACTGGTACATATTGTAGGGGAAACTCTAGCCAAACATTTCTCCAGAGCTCAGTTTTATTCTCCCACACCTCACTTCCCTCAGGCTTTATTCTCAAGCTGAGGTGTCTGCTGAGAAAAGCCGCTCCACCTCTCCCTGGTCTGCTGGGCGGGGGGAGGGGGACGCGCTAGCTTCGCATCTCCCTAGTCTGCTGGGGGGAAGTAGCTAGTGCGGGGGTGCCTCACCCCGGTTGTCGGGGACTGCCTGTATTTCGAAATAGTGTTGACATACTGTCAAGCTGGAGGACTTCTTACTCAGACTGCTATAACCCTCATTGTACGAGGAATAAGGGAAGTTGGAGGAAGAGTGCTCTATTTTGAAATAAGTGATGTGTAGATGCTCCCAATTTCAAAATAGGCTATTTCAAAATAAGCTATGCAACTGACATAGCTCAATTTGCAAAGCTTATTTCGAGTTAAGCCCTGCTGTGAACATGCACCCTAACAGGCCTTTGCAAATGTTTACTGTGACTCATAATACCCCAATAAGGTAGTTTAGAGTTAGGGATCATTTCTTCACCCACCACAACAGTGCAGCAACTTCTGGAGGGGAGAATTGCTATTATATAGAAGATAGCAATACTAAACTGTAGGGCAGCAAGTAAGGAAGACCACTGTAGCCTACTGAAACCTCAGACGTGATGTAGGTAGACAGGATGTAAGTACTTGAGTTGGAATTTGACTTGAACACTAGAACTATAACACACCTGTCCAGGAACAAGTGTGAGAACTGCTGAAAATGAAGAGGAGAACCAAAGGACAGATGGGTTGAAAGGGAGTGTATACTGCTAGTATAGCACTTGCTTGGTAGACAAAGATGATAATTTAGCTGCAAAAATAAAGAAAAGCAAAGAATTGTAAAAGCTCAGAGGTGTATAAAATTTTGGAATCAACTTTATTGCAATCAGGTAGAATTCAGAAAATGGAAATCTTCACAGTTGCTTTCTTTCCTTCTAGTAAACTACCATTATCTCATAATCAAAATGCAGACTAGTAAATTCCATGCCAATTTTCTAAAAAAAAATTAAAGAATAAACTTCATGGAATATTGTGTTTCCTGATATGTTACCTGCTATGTGATCCTAATGGATGGCCTCCTTCTTGCTGCTGACTCTTGTTTAAACCTGTAGTGGTTTTGTCTGTCATTCACACAAAGTCAGTAAGCACTTTGTTTAATTTCACAGCTGAAAAATAAAATAAATATGTAGGTATATTCCATTTCATTTTGTTAAAAAGCTTGTAACTGTTTGAGCTTTCTCCTCTAAAGCTACAGAGATGGAAGCTGATGTGCAAGGATGGATGCTTTACCCCAGTGGTTCCCAAACTTCTCAGCATCACACCCCCTTTTTGATTTTTGAAAAACCCTCAACCCCCCCCCCGAAAATAGCAGCAAAACTTGTTGAGCTCGCCCCCCAGTTTGGGAACCCATGCTTTACCCTATGCTGAGCATCGGGCAGCATTGGGACATAACACAGTCTTCATAATTCCTTTTTTTCAGGGATAACTTCTAACTTTTTGTCATGCATTCATTGAGACTTCATTTAAAAACCAGAGAGACAAATAATATACAGAAAATTTAGACACGTGTATTTTGGTGATCTGCAATAATATAAAGAAAAATGGGGAAACATCATCCTAGAATGATACCAGGATATAGTTTCTTTTTCCATAAAGATCATTCCACCTGAACCATGTTTTACAGTCTCACCAGAGGAAAAAGTGTCTCTACAATTGGGTGTTAAATTATGAAGTGTAGGAACCACTGAATGTGAGGGAAATTAACAATACCAAGTGTTGTTTTGTGTGATGGAGAAAATTCAATCATTTATTTAAATTAAATATAGATGCAATAACTATGAACTGATAGAGCCTCTGAACTACAAAGTATACATGCTTTAAAGCTTGTCTAAGTATACTGGATTTCAAGTTGTCAGCTGCTGAGTTTGTGCAGGGTTGTGCGTGTGACCGGAAGATTGGCTAGAAGCCTTCAAGAAAATCAAAGACTAAAACTAAGAGGTGTTAAGAAACTAGTGTAAGTGGTGTGATGGGTGGCATGTCTCCTGAAGCACTTCACAGCATTCTAGGCTATATTGCACTGCTGTGCTTGTTGCAAAAACCCCGAAGAAACTGGCACCCGGATATTCCATGCCATTTTTTCGTAGAACTAGGAGTGTCAGTCCCATTTCCTAGCCACATTCCAAAAAAGTGCAATCGGCTACTTACATTCTCTTACAGTTTCAACCTGTTAAAGGCCGCTCGTTTTCCCCCATCAGAGTGAGCGTGTCTGGCTAGGGGAGTGAACTACGATAATCAAACGCGGCTGCCCTTGTCACCCTCTGCCCCCTTGCGGGAGGCTAAGGCGAGGAGGGTGGCTGGGATAAAACGCATGCGCACCAATGGGTGTTGGGTGCCTATAATAACACTGGAAGCAAGTGCGAGGCGCTGTTAAAGGCCGCTCGTTTTCCCCCATCAGAGTGAGCGTGTCTGGCTAGGGGAGTGAACTACGATAATCAAACGCGGCTGCCCTTGTCACCCTCTGCCCCCTTGCGGGAGGCTAAGGCGAGGAGGGTGGCTGGGATAAAACGCATGCGCACCAATGGGTGTTGGGTGCCTATAATAACACTGGAAGCAAGTGCGAGGCGTCTGAGGTCCGGCCAGTGGCTGCTTGTCTCGCCAGTAGAGAGCGACACAGCCCGGGCGCCAGTGGCTACCGCGCAGCGAGGCAGTGCAGTCAGCGGCTCAGCGAGGAACCGGAGGAAAGGCGCCGCGAGAGAGACACGCCGGGAGGCAGCTCCGCGCCCCACGCTCCCTCGCAGCCCCTCTCGCCCCGCCTGCAGCCAGGGGGGCGCCGCGCTCGCAGCTCCAGCCGCTGGGG